GAAATGAAATTTTATTCTTAAAAAAAGATAAAATTATAAAATGTAATTGAGAAACATTTGTGATTTATATACAAATAAAAATAATTTGAAAATAATTTTAATTTAAAACTTATTCAGAAGAAATACCATCAATAATTTTTAAAAAAATCTGTATGTCCAGAAAAAATATGCACCGTTAATTGTAATAAAAAATTTTAAGTCTTATCAGTAGGCTCTGAATATGAATTTTTGTTAGTTGAATAAAATTTTTTGAATAAAATAGGATTAAATTGAAGTCCATATATCAGCCATAAATTTTTAACTGAAAGTTCAAACCTCCCAGATAAAACAGCGTTACAAAAGTGTTCGTAATACTATTGAATTTTTTTAAAAGAATTCTTTTCTCTAACATCCTAGACGGTAGTTTCTAGAGCTTATTGATAAGAAAATTTCGATAGAGACGTTGTAAATTTATTTCATCACTATCACTTTAGTCCTTATCAGCTGCAAACCTGATTCATTTTTGCTTCATGAGTAAGACAATGCAAAATCCTGCCATCCAGTCTCTTTTTCAAAATTATTCATATTTTTTGAATATTTCGCTCTTTTATTTAAGGCATAGATGATAGATTTATTCCAGAGTAAGCAACAAATACTTTGAATGATTTTTTCTTATTTATTTTCATATAAAATTAAAATAAGATATATAATAATTTTAATATAAAACGAGGGTCATTCAATAAGACCTTAAAAAGATAGAAAACAAATTATTTTAGGTAGAAATTTTTATTTCATTTTTCAAAATAGTCTCCTTTTAACTCTATACACTTTTCCAAGTGTTTCTCCAATTTTTTAAGCCATCTAAAAAGTAAGAGTTTGAGAGGTCCACAAAATAGACATCTGTTTGGGCGATTACCTCTTCGTTTTAAGTGAACCATTGTCCACCGAGCCATTTTTTTTAAGTTCGGAAATTTGTATAAAAAAGTCACTTATGGCCCAATCTGGTGAGTATGGTCGACATTGTAATAATGTGAACTTTAATTCCATGATGTTGGCCATCGAAACCTTACAACTGTGCAGCGGTACATTGTCTTGATGGATGAAGATTTTTTTTCTTTTTCAAATTGTGACGGAATAGTATTCTTATTCGCCTCTTGTGCCATAACTCAATCAAATATACTAATACTAAAAAGTCAATAACTTATACAAGACGTTAGACAAATATCACGCACAATATTTATTCAATAGCACTATAATGATAAATGAATTCCTGCTCTCCAAGGTACCCCTAGATATATTCGCTAGTCTCACTAATACAGAATTAAGAATGTCTTACCGAAACTTTTACAGTTGCAGTTGACGTGATTCTTGACTTCCTTACGATCACTCTCACCCTTAGCAACTCTTGATCTCATCTACCGCCTGTAAGACATATACTCAACGCTAGTAACACTCAGCCTCTATCCACCAGACTTCCTTCTGCTTATATGCTCTCCTATCTAGATCACTTCACTTTATTTCTACCTGCCTCTAATTTCCCTAATCACGTTTCATTTTGATTGGGAAGAAATTGCTTAGTTCATGCAATCAATCTCAGTTAAAGTCCTCAAGGTTAGTGAAGAGAAAACAGTCAATTCCTTTGGACGTCCCAAACGACGTTCATTTTTTGTGGATGTACGGCCCCGTTTAAATTCATTTACCCTGTTATAAACAGTTTCAAATACAGGAGCATATGTTCCACAAACTTCATCCAACACATTTTTGATCTCTTTCAGTGTTAAGCATTTTAAATATAAGTGTTTTATCACCACATTTGAAACATTTTTTTCCATTTTTCTAAATGAACACGAGTTTCTTCCTTCAATCAGTAATAACCATGAAAACATGTCATGAAATTAACTGAGAGGCAGTTATCTAGTGAGTCATAATACTTACTAAAAACAAACCATTTTCGATGCTACGAGGGCCATCTCTTGGATTTTCTGAGGACTTATTGAACGACCTTCGTAAGAAAATCAACAATAACAATTGTAATTTACTAGTAATTAGATTCTTAAATATATATATATATATATATATATATATATATATATATATATATATATATATATATATATATATATATATATACGACGAGTAACATCACATTTAAGGTTTTATATAAGGAATGAATTTTTTTTTTGAAATAAATTTTTGAGGAATTTTACAAAATAAAATATTATATCTCCTTCATTCACTATCCCATATTTATGTAATTCATATTAATATAGCTTTATTGCTTACATATTACTGCGCAATATGCAAATAGGACTGATCCCTCTATTATGATTATAAATACTGAGGTATATTTATGTGATATTCACATATTTAGATGAAAAATTTCTTTTATGTGGGCACTCGGTATTATTGGTTGGTTTCCTTTCTTCTGGTAATTACACCCAAATGAAAGTTTTTTTTAATATTTGTCCAGTTTCATTTGACTAGAAAATTTTGAAAGCAGAATAGTTTGTAATATAATTAGTTATTTGTGAGGTTCACTCTCTTGTTTTCAAATTTTCTTATTTTCCATAATTTTATTCTGAACAGCGGATTCTTCCAGAGAGTCTATGCTCATTTTTTCAAAATTTATGCAAATATGTAACAATTGGGTAAATTGTATCGATTAGTATTTTTATATAAAATTTCCGTCTAAACTGTTGAGAAGTAAGATAACGAATTAAATTAGTCAGAGAGATTACTCGAAAGGGGTAGAGTAACTAAGGCCGCAGAATGTAGGTATTGACAATTCACTTGTATAATCGGTCACAATGATAGAAATACATCGAATATAGATTAAGATTTTTTGATAGTTGTACTCGTAAATTGTATCTATTTTCTATAGTTATAGCTACTTCATTCTGTTTATTAAAATGGAGACTCGTTTTTATTATTTCTTTCGAGGTGAGATTGCAAATGTGTTTAATCTCATTTCTTTGTTAGAATTTGGATATTTATTAAATCGATTGAAGAGAATATTTTCACATGAATTCTACAGATTTCAAAACAATATTAGGATACAATGAGTAGAGTCCTCTAAAATTAAAATCTACGACTGAAAGAGTGTGAAAACAAAAGTTCTTTGGGTTAAGAAAATAATTTTTCAGATATTACTCTGATGATTTTTAGTGATTCAGTTTTTTTGAATTTACAGATTCACTTAAGAAATTGATATATTTAATTTTGAGAAAATGCCTAATCGTATTATATTAAAAACAATTTTACTAATTCTTCCTGTACATGCAAGTTTACTGTAAGCCAGAAAATTCAAGTACTATTATGAAAAAAGATTCAACAATAAAAACTTTTCTTCAATTTTCGGATTTTCGTTTTACTTAAAATATCATCTTCTTGAAATTGTTTTTCTTTCAATAGTATTACAGTAATTAAAAAATGAAAACTTTTAAACTAAATGGATTAATTTAAAACAAAAGGTCAGAAAGCTGCACATTAAGTAATGCAACAATATATAACAAAGCATTTTTTTCGTGAACGTAATTTCAGTATAATATCCATCTTTTGATACTCAAGCTAGAATTTTACATAATAAAATAAAAAGAATATATATATATATATGTACGCACACGTTGTCACGTGTTTTTTCTCAATACATTATCTCTTTAATAAAAAGAAAATTCGAAAACTTAATCTAATCGTTAAATAAATGTCTCAGATTATAAATAGCATTATTTAAAAGCTGTAATTATAAATCTCGCGATCTAAGATAAATGCTTTAAAATTATATTTCATTCGATTTAGATTCAAAACAGTGATGACAGGTGACGCATATCTTTTTCCTCACTTTCTTTACGTCTTGAGTTTATCGCGTTCAAATTATCGCACCTCAATGGAAATGATTTGCTTTACAGTTTGACTGACGTAAAGAAACGTCATTTCTTCGAAAACAATGGCTTATTAAAAGTTTAAAACATTTCAATTCCGATCCAGCGGATCTTTTAAGAGAAGATTAAAAAAATTATTGACGTTTTCTGATAAAGGTGATATCAATAATTTTTTCGTTCTAAACTAATATTACTAATACTGTTGAATCCAATTGCAAAAATGTTTGTGGTATCACTAGAGTTTTTATCTCTTTGAAAATGATATAAATATTTTGATGAAATTAATTAATGGTAATATAATTAATTAATAATTTTATGAAGTATTGAACACATAAAATTACTTAATTTACAGAAATGTGTAAGGCGAGTTATGTTTAAAAACAAAGATCGTGTATTGAAATAATTTGCTGGAATATGCTACATTTTTAAAATGATGAAGAAAAAGTAGAACACTCAGAAAAAATTACATTAAACTAAGCATGCGAAGAAAACGTCTGTTTACAATACAAAAGGATTAGAATAATGTTTCATATTAAGATATCGACCCATTTGTGAGTGATTCGTCCGATTTCTACTAATTTGATAGTTTAAATATTCAACATCAGGTGTCGAATACCGTAAGTTTATTTTTTATGTATATTAATGACTATTTTAAAACCTAGATGAGAGTTTTTGAGTCTATATGTATTCATTCATATAGTTTATTTTTAATCGATGCGTATAAGACTGCGTATTTATTTTAATCATGAGTTAAATTTAATTTTATCTTAAGGTATATGTGTGATTTTTATGGTAATGACACCATTTAATTCCCTCAAATTTAATGAAATTCAGAAATAAAGTATTAAAAATATTTGAATTTGAATTTGATTGAAGAGTACTAGAAACAAATTTGGTTATTCCATGACAAATTACGTTACTATGAGGCACTTCTTCTAAAGACCTTTCGTATATTTCTATGCAAAGAACTATTATGCATTATTATTATTTCATTATTCTTTTCGACAAACTTCATAAGTAGAAATAATCCAAAAGACCTATTTCTGATGCTTTTATTGAGAAAACCACACAAATTCAAAATTCATATAAAGACGTTATTTAATTTAAAGGAAATGTAACGCCTCGTTATTATTTCCTTCGCGTTCCGTGGCCTAGTGGTCATGGCTGCGGATTCGCAACCTGCGGTTTTCGTCGAGTCGTGGGTTCGAGCACGGATGCCATTAAAGCCCCACCGAAAAATGGAGCTGAAGCTTGTTAAATCTGTCGAGGTCACAGGTTCTTCCGTTGGCGTGAGTGAAAGTTTGGAGAGGAATGCGCCAGCTCATGTGTCGTCCTCATCATTAACTTTGGATTAAAATTACAAAGTCCGTCGCCCAAAATCCTCGTATTGCTATTCAATAGGCATTCTTCTTATTATTAGTTTTTTGTATTTTCTTTCTTTATTTTTTAAATATAAGATTATGTTTTAACATTTAATAATTAATATTTTTGATTTTAATTACTTTCAAAATTGTTTTATTAGTAATTTTAAATTTACTTTAATTCTCTATGCATTTTAAAAAGTATTTGCTTTCTAATGTGTTCCATAATTGACTATTCAACTAACAATCCAATACGCACATATATGTATATATATATATATATATATATATATATATATATTATATATATATATATATATACATGTATATTATTATTATATGTATTATTACATATTACATGTATATATATATGTATTACGTATGGCTGTGCATGTATGTATATATATATATATATATATATATGTGTGTGTGTGTGTGTGTGTGTGTGAGTATGTATATATGTATATACAAGAAGTTTTTAATAAAATGTAAATAAGTTAGATTTAATTTCTGTAGTAATTTGCTTTCACAAATAAAATTATGTATTGCAAGTTTGCCATGCACTCCATTAATCAAAGGTATCAAAATTATGAAATAACAATATAAATTGCAGCATTGCAAAATTACAGCTTTGTGAATGCAGCAAGAAAGTTAAATGCTAAGTTGCAAACTTTTTTTTTATAAACATCTTAACATTTTAAGTAATTGTTTAATGAAGGATGGGAAAGAAATTAAAACTTACCAGTCATTTATTGTCAATCAAATTCGCTATAAATTTACTTTCTAAAATGTGAGAAAAGAATAATTAGTAAAGAAATATTCATATGTGACTAATTTTAAATATATATATTTATATTACTTAACTTTTATATTTTTTGAGTACGTAAGTGTTTTGTAACTTTTTGCTTGCTTTAAGCCATGAATTTATTTTGTAGGCGTAGAATGAAATGCGTAGAATGAAGCAGAAGAAAACAGCTTATAGATATCCTCGTTTTATATATAAAGACACATGAGTATTTATTGATGCACAGTAAAATATTTTTAAGTAGAAAATATTAACAAAATATTTCTTACAATCGTAAAAACTAAAATATTTAAATTATTTCATGAAATTCAAAAATTACGATAGTATTCGTGTTTCTCAAAATATGAATTTTCAATGTTATAAGTGATATTATATAGCTTGAATTACGATAGCCGTAACACGTTTATATAATTATACACAGTTTGTCATTATGAACTGCTTTAACCCCTTTCCAGTGTCGTCCGGATACAGTTCGGGCAACTCAAACGTGCAACATTTGTAACTCTCGAACTAAGTTTGTGCAGGAGAAATATTAATGTTTCTGTTCCGTGAAGGTGGAACTGAACTCATTTTCATTTCGAATAGAAATTTCTTATGTAATTCACTCATTTCGCAGCAAATTGCAGTACCTGTCCTTCGTGAGAGAGACTGTGGTCAGCCGTAAATGCGCAGGGAGAGGTGTTTCGAAAAGATAGTCGGAGATTTTTATTTCTTATTGTGAGTTTACGCTAATTTTAAGCAAAAAATACATTTTTTTTGCTATGCCTGATTCAGAAGTCGATGAAGAATACGATTTAGACTCTTCAGGATGTAAGGAGACTGATACGATCTCGCGTGCAACATCATGTTTTGGTATATATCATTCTATAAAGAACTTGTGAAATCCATATATTTAAACTCATATTGTTGTATTAAGTTTAGAATTATGTCGTTTGATTAATTTTGTAATAGTAAAACGCGTGCAGTTCATTATTTCCTTCCTCTCTGTATTTTAATGCATTAAAAAGTAGCCTTTTCATGAATTTTTTCCTTCTTTTTTGTTAAATAATACTTTTTAAACTTATTATTGATATAATGCACAAAATTAAGTAGGATTTGTTTCATATTTGTTGCATTTTTTTGAAACATATGTCACATTTAAGATGTTAAATAAATTTCTTAAATCTTAAGTTAAATAAGTTTAGTTACTTGTTATTGAAATTTCAAATAACATTGATTATTATTGTTGTTTTATCGCACATTATTCTTCAAAGAATAGCCCCAAATGTATTTTATGAAGAAGTAACTAATTATATGCATAGTTAATCCACAGATGATTAATTACACTATTCATACTTTGCCTAAAAGAATTACTTTATACATAATTTACAATAGAGCAACTGAATTTACATATGCTTTACGAAAAAGTCACTAGCTTTATGTACACAATACTAAAAAAATAGTGATATTCATATTTGGGGAAATAGGGATATATATATATATATGAGCGTGTACTTTACACACAGAAAAATCACTAGTGTAATTTATACGTAGGGAGTGATAATCCTTACTTTCGAGTACAACGTGATAGTAATTTCTAATCTTTGTTATAGAAAGCAATTTTTACATATTTAAACACTTCTTTTTAAAATTAAAATTAAATGGAATTAATGGCTATGCAAATTATTTTTGCAAGGTCATTTAAGTTTTTCGTAATATAGAACATCACGCATATTCTTTCTATATACAAACATAGTGCTATTGATATGAAAGTGAACTGAATAGCGGATGACACTAGTGAAATAAACTCGTGCCATAAAAGCTGTCATAGATCTGGTGTTCTGACTAACTCACCCATCAATCCAGGAGTGTTATAGAGAGTCATAAAGATACGACATTCTTTTTGGATGAAAGATTACCACAAGAAGTACGCGCGTGTTCACGCTCACACAAACAGAGAGGGAGCGGCTCAGAAATTCCAAGGACTCGGCCTCAATCTAGAATATACCTTTAAGTTTTCAGGTGTACTCATAACATCATTCATATATGTATATAAATTATACACATCCTTTGTCGAACTCTTGTTAAAAGTATACTATAGCACAAGGTGTAATTTATTAACCAAATTACTAATTGACACACTTGATCAAAAATTATTAATATTTTATACATACTTATCCAAGAGTAAATAATTTTATGTATGCTTCACCAAAAAGTAAATAACTTTATATACATTTTACCAAAGAGTAACTAATAGTGTTCTTTAAACAAGGGGTGTTTATCTATGTATGTACTAACGTATTTTTGTATCCTCTTGCTAAATTAAAGAATTAGATATTATATTACTGCATTAAAAAAAACCCTAATATATATATATATATATATATATATATATATATACTACCTCGCTAAAAATTACATTATTTACTTCCAGTGTTATGTACAGTATTCTGGATGCAATAGAGTATATTTTCAAAATTTAATGAAGCATCCCGTTGAATAGTCTTTCTAGAAGCTTCAAAAAATTATTTATCTATTTGAATTATATATAGTATTATTTACATTAACTGTTATGGCGTTACAACTGAAGTGGTGAAATCACCAAGAGCTCATAAGAAACTACATTTATGTACCTCCAATTATACTACAGATATCTTGAAAGCTAAGATAAAGATTGGTTCTTGTGTAAACAGTCAGAGGAAATAATCATTATATCTAAAGAAATTATTGACAAATATACGTTTTTGACAAGCATTTCGGAAATCGCCTTAACACAAATACGTAAGAATTGCGATACCAATTGGGTGTCTGTGTATCTGTTTTTTGAGAATTCAATTGACGGAAAAATGAATAAAAATAAATAAACAAGAGTATTTAGAGCTGAATTAAATGCATTGAAAATTTTTACTCGAAACAAAGCAATTTTTCACATTAAATAAAGATATGTAATATCCAGAACAAATACTGAAAACGATAAATGAAAAATTAGAATAAAAGGGATACCAAGGCTTCTTTGGATTCAATTTTTTTAATAGTCTTGTTCATTAGGCATGAATTATAGAAACTCTGTACTTTAATGGCTGTGTTGTAATTTCTATATTAGACATATCCTGTGATATTTAATTAGTTAACATTTCATTTGATTGCAGAAAAGTAATTATTTCAAGTAATAAACCATTTAGAAAAATTTATATAAGGTTCATTTTGAGGAAACCTACATAATTTCGAAATAACCAAAATTAAATCGAGATGTGATTTAAAATGAGTTGCTTCCCACTAAAAAGAACATTAAGTGATATAAAAACTATTTATTGAATATACAAGGTTTGTGACGTTGCACTATTAGCGTTTTTATCACTAACTTTGGGGCTTTTTGTAATTCGAATTGCATACAATAAAGCCCCCTTTCTAACCGAATGTAACGTAAATATGCAAATTAAATGAAGATACGAAGTGTAATCAATTGAATTAGGAATAGTGATTTATAAGCGAAATAGAATTGAAATGAATAAGAAAGGAGACAAATGATAAAGAAAAGCTGATGGATTTTTGCAAAATAATTGAAGCGAATTATAGTAATTTTTCATTTGTAGTAACATTGGTTAAAAGAGATTCCTGGATAGAGTAGTAAGATTCGGATCCGATGTGTACAAGAAGTTCCACTCGGTGCGAATGATTTAGAAAGCTGTGACTTTATTGTTTAATCATAAGCTAGGATAAAAGTGAATTAAGAGGTATTCGAGAGGCAGGGACCTTACTTATTCTGAGAAGATAATAAATGAGCGGTGTTGTCCTTTTTTTTTATTGGAGTTTTCAATTGTATTTATGATCTTATTGGATATTCAACTGAACTTAATAATCTCTGTTGAGTTGAACAACGAAGTGTGGAAGCTGCAGGTTGACTCGATGATTTAGAAGTACTTCGCCGAGTGTGAATGATTTAAAACTCTTCATTTCTTAAAATGTTATAAATATCTAAAGAGAAAAGTATGTATAAAAACAAAAACTTAGGAAACGTTGTTAAGTTAATGAAAAAGGGGTCAATTTCGAAAACATCCTTGAATCAATTTAATTCGACTGAAGTAAAATAAAGAA